ACATGGCCAACCATGGTTCGAGTTCTGGACTTGGCAGCTTGCTTTCTCACTACTCCCCCCTCCCCCCCTTGCTCTGTCCCTCTCTGGTCAAACTGAAATGGATGAATAAATAAAGTTAAATTAAAAAAAATTCTTTTAACAAAAGCTGCAAATATTTATTTATAATTATTATTTTAAAAATTTGCTACTGGGCACATATGCCCACCAGAGAGACACAGAGAAAGAGAGGGAAAGTGAGAAAGTAAACCACCAGGTCTGGTACTCGAATTGTGGTTGACCATGTGGGAGTCCAGCACCCCAACCAGCATGCACCTGCTGGCCCTGAGCTCACACTCTTAAATCCTTATATAGTTCAGGAAAAGATTTTAGGTTACTGCTTTTGAGGGCAGCCATAACACTATCACGGCTTTCCATGAATGAGGGTATTTCCTTTATTTCCCTGTTGGATTCACAATCTTAGAAGTTGAGATGACATTTGTTCTGTAACTACATTTAAAATTCAACAAGATGGACCAGCTGCAGTGGTGAAAGGGTAACACAACTTTCCACGATGCTGAGGCCACATGGAAGGTCTCAGGTTCACATCCTAAAGTCTCCCTGTGTACTCTGAGCACAGCTTTGTATGCCAGTGATCTTGGCTGGCTGATGCTGGGAATGGATCATGGCATGAAGACTGCTGGATGCTGTCATTCTCTCTTTCTCTCTCTCTCTCTAAAGAAATAAACTTAAACACTGTGTAAATCTAGTGGCCACATAAACAAAGTATGCTTGCTAAGTAATGTCATTTGGGTTAAATCCAACTTCTTTTGAGTTTATGGTGTCATAGTAAAGAAAAACTATGATGAGTAAACTTATGCCTCCATCCATAGGTGAATTATTTTCATAACTAATCACTTCAACACCTGAAAGGCATATGCATATCCAGGCCCACAATGTGTGGCCTCAGTTCATGCCCCCTCACCAGCAGTTGAGTCACCATCAGATTTTCATCAGGAAGCTGTGGGTCAGGAGGCAGGACCTGGCAGTGGGGTATGTACACCTTGTAGATGAATGAGGTGCTATCCTGCCTGTTCTGAGGGCTCTTTAGCTCCAGTTTTTACTTCAACATGAAATGTGCTAGACCAGCAGTTGGTTTGCTGGCTGCAGGCTTATTTGAGGAGAGTCTGACTCACAGGATCTGGTATGCAGCCTCAGAATCTGAGGTTCTTGGCATCTTTCATCACTCCAGGGGACCAGAGTCTGAGCGTCCCAGGTCCTAGCACCTGCCCTGGAGTAAGTCCTGGCTGTTGGAAGCTCAGGGTGCCATGTAGATTCCTTCCCTGTGGGACAGTTTGGAGTTCTGAGCTAGTTTGTAGTATTTAAAGGGGTTTGATAGTATTGTGAATTGAGTAGACTACCTGAGTGACACAGAAGCCATGGACTCCAAATGTTCTAGTCACAATTGTGCCAAGAATATGCTCAAGCCAGCTTTAATTTATCACGCCAGTGGTCATTGTAAATATTCACCAAGGCTGAGTAGTGGCAGGAATGGTAAAAGAATAAGACACAATCTCTGCCTTTAAAGAGCTGGCTACATCTTTTGGAAATAAGATGTGCACAGGGGAATGTTTATATATTACAAAACAGCATGTGATTCGTACTAAATGAGTCAGCCAGAACACAATTCCTGTGGTGATTTAGGGAAATGACCTATATGACCTATGGACAGACTAGAGTACTCCCAACTCTCTAAAACTGGGCAGCAACCTATAGCTAATCCCCACACAAAGGGTCTGTTATTTATTTATTTATTTTGAGAGAGAGTTTTTCTTTTTCTTTTTTTTGGAGAGGTTTTCGCTATAGGGCGTGTGCGCTCGCCAGAAAGACAGAGAGAGACAGAGAGATAGAAAGTGAGAAATCATCCCCCCTGGGGGGGTTGGCCATGCTTCAGTCCCTTCTCCTCCATTCTCCTCTCAGGATCTTGGGCACGCACGCACACGCGCCTGGTGTGAGTTTAAGCCGCCGGGGCCAGGACTTGAACCGCGGTCGACTACATGGGAGTCCAACGACATAGCCATTATGCTAACTGCTGGTCCCCTGAGAGAGAGTTTTATTTATTATTATTTGCTAAAGGGCACACATGCTCTCCAGAGACAGAAAGTGAGAAATCATCCCCCCTGGGGGGGTTGGCCATGCCGTAATCCCTTCTCCATTTTCCTCTCAGGATTTGGACATACATGCACACACACATGCACCCAGTATGAATTTCAAGCCTCCAGATCTGGGACTTGAACCATAGTCAACCACGTGGGAGTCCAATGCCTTAACCACTGTGCTACCTGCTGGCCCCATAAAGGGTCTTTTTATGCAACAAGTTCAGTCACATTTCTCTGGTACAAAGTCCTCTGCAAGGTGTGCTTTTTAAAAACCAATGCTTATGGGAACCAGCAGTTAGCGTAATGGCTATGTCGCTGGACTCCCACGTAGTCGACCGCGATTCGCGTCCCAGACCCGGTGGCTTAAAACTCACGCTGGGTGCGTGTGCATGCGTGCCCAAGATCCCGAGAGGAGAATGGAGGGGAAGGGATTGCGGCGTGACCATCCTCCCTGGGGCGTGATTTCTTGCTTTCTGTCTCTCTGTCTCTCTCTGTCTGTCTGGCGAACGCACGCGCCCTGTAGCAAAAATCTCTCCAAAAAAAAAAATTATTATTATTATTATTATTTTGCCAGAAGGTATGTGTACTTGCCAAAGAGAGAAAGGGACAGAAAAAGTGCCCCTCACCCCTAAGGGGCACACACCACAATCTCTTCTCTATTTCTTCATCATGTCAGAATTCAAGGCTTTCACACACCCCTGCACTTGGCACGTTTTTCAAGCCACTGGGCTCTGAACTTGGACTGTGCTGTCAGTCATGAGAGATCCAGTTCCCTTAACTACTAGGCCACAGGGCCAGTCCATGATGTACTTTTAGTCACTCAGAATCACAGCAAAATGAAATAAAAAATAGGAGACCAATGCCACAAAATAAAGAGGTCTGAAAAACAAGGCTTTCACTATAGTTGAAGGCTTTCAGAGTACCACAGAGTGTGCTCCACTACACAGAGGCTTGTTTTTCTCTGTCATGAGGCACACGCTCTCTGAGAAACTTTAGTAACTGGAAATCTCTGCAAAATGGCCAAGAACTGGTCATTTGTCTCCTGCCACAAGTAGCTTTCTCTAATACTCTGTAAAAAAGGCCCTCGACAGTTTGGGTTTCCACAAAGAAGGAGACAGCAGTACCATGAAGAAGCCTGCTCTCAGTGGTCCGGAAGGAAGCCACCCCCCAGGAAGCCACATTCAGCTAGGCAAATCATGAGTAGGACAGGAAAGAATGTTGATTTTCATCAATATGCAGGTGGTGTGGGATGCTTGGTACCTTTATCGTTGGTATTTTAGCTCTGGGTCCATGATGAGTCATGATATTTGTGCACTCATAGACATGTTTTTGTGGCTGAATAATTAGAAGCAGATAGCTCCCAGGAAGTGGTCTTTTTTTCCCAATACCTGCTTTTCCAATTTTGTATTTACAGACACACAGTGAGAAGGTGTTTTATGTCTCTACTTTCAAGGTGTCCCTTGAAAACCTAGCAAACAACTCTGGTTTTATATGACCAAATTCCCTAAGGAATGACTTTATTGCCATGCAGGAGGGAATTCTAAGAAATTTGGCATATAATACACTTTATGGCAATGCTCAGATCATCACCTTAGGCTGAGCCAATAAAGGTTTAAAATAAAATTTTCCTAGCAATAGTCATTTAATTAGTATTTCTTACTTCATGCCTTGTGCTTCTGCATATGTATCTTTTTTAAGAAAAAGAATTATGTTATTTAACTTTATTTATTTATTTTAATTTGAGCAGAGAGGGAGAGAGAGAGTGTGTGTGTTTGTGTGTGCATGTGTGCATGCATGGGAGAGAGAGAGAAAAAGCAAGCTGCCAGTCCGAGACTTGAACCATGGTTGGCCATGTGTGAGTTCAGTGCCCTCAACCATCACATCACCTGCTGACCCCCCCTTTTTTTATTGCCAGAAAGTGTGTGCACCCACCAGAGATAGGGAGACAAAAAAGGGAGAGGGAGAAAGCACCCTTCAACCCAGAAAGTTGTGGTCATGCTGCAATTCCTTCTCCTTCACTTCTCCATCCTGTTGGGATTTGGGGCACACACACATGCGTGCCTGGCATGTTTTTCAAGCCACTGGAGTTGAGATTTGAAACATGGTCAGCAGCGTGGGATCTGGCTCCCTTAACCATTTGGCCACAGGGACACCGCTTGCATATGTATCTTTTTTTTTTTTTTTTTTTGCATATGTATCTTGACTAGCTACCATAAATGACCTTTTGGGGTCGGCATGATATCCTATATTTTGCAAAAGAGAAAAAACAGGGCTTAAAAGATTTAAGTGACTTGCCCAGCTAATGCCGCTTATAAACAGGAGCTACAGCATGAATTTAGGGCCTGACTCTTTCAAGTAGCTTAGGCTACTTGAAAAGATTATTAAGCGAGTCAAGAAATTTCTTGGGAAAAACAGTAGAATGATCATGACCTGTCAGTTTTTCATAGATAGAATTATAAAAATCCTCTCACACTTATTCCCTGAGATGTATGTTAATACATTTTTCAAGGAGCTAGCTAAGCACTATGCAGCAGAAGCCAGATCCCACAAGGCCAACTAGGGTTTGAGTCCTGGCCTGGTGGCCTGAAAAACACACTAGGTATGAGTGCATGCCCAGGATCCTGATGGACTGGAGAATTGTAGGAAAAAGGACTGTAGAATGACCAGGCCCCATTGGGAGTTGCTTTCTTCTCTTACCATGCACAAGCGCTGCACCCTCTGGCATTAAAAAAAAAAAAAAAATCCACTTTCTCTTTGTCACGGGGTACTCTTTTTGTTTCTTTTAATAAGTCATTCCTCTTTTATCTTATATGAACAAGTAGACCTCAAAAAATCAAGAAAACGCACATATTTTGTTATTTCATATTACTGTTAGAAGAAATTTCTGTTTTCCTTGCATACTATTTATATATTGTGTATATGGAGTAACTAAAAAGATGCCGGGCCTCACCTAGATTTAGTTGTTTGCCACTTAAAGCTGTGTGACTTTGGGGAAGAAGCAAGCCTTTTATTTTTGTTTAGCATAATGTCAGAAAATTTTTGAGAATTTCTGAAATACTAAAAACTGAAGTACCATGTAAATATTAAAGTGCTATATAGATGTAAGTTATCTTTTAATTATTGCCCAGAGTTAACAGATAATGAAAGGATGCTCATTCACCTGAAGCAAAGGGTTGACTGGACTTAACTACATAATCAATTAAAAGAGGAGCTGGTCATTTGAGAATGTGGGAGAGCTTGAGGGAACACATAGGAACCTGAAAAAAAAGATGATGAGTATAAGGATACGTTTGCTAATCTCAGAAATGGTAGTCTTGCTTTAACAAATGGTTGTAACCAATGAAGCCCAATGATCCTGAAGGTTTCCTTTAGAAATGCCACAAAGACATAGGAGACATGCTTATCCAAACTGTCCGTGACAAAAAAATTAAAAAACTAAAAAAAAAAAATAATAAAAAGGAGCGTGCAGTTTATATTAAAGTTAAGAAAATTAGGCCTGCTATGTGGCCTGGTGGTTAAGGCAGCAGGAACCCACATGGCCAACTACACAGTTCAAACCCCAGATTTGGTGGTTTGAGAAACATGCTGGGTGGATGTGTGTGCATGCCCAAATCCCTAGAAAGGAGAGATGGAGAAGGGACTGCAGAGTGAACATTCCTCCTATGGGCTGCTTTCTAGCATGCCCAATCTCTCTAGTGAGGGCATGTGCCTTCTAGTCAACCAAAAACAAAAAGATGAAAAAATAATCATGATTTGAGAAGATATTTAATTGGCATGTTGGGGATTTATGAGAGACATTTTCATGTGATAATTGGACTTACTCAAAGGATTTGAGACGTGAGGGGGCATCCAGGATGATTGCAAAGCAGTACAGCTAATGGTTAAAAGGTTTGGTAGAGCCAGGCTACCGCAGTTCAAGACACAGCCCTGCTGTCTGTTAGCTGTATATTTATGGGCTGGTTGTTAGCCTTCTCGTTCCTTTGTTTCCTCACCCATTTTATAAAGTTGTTTTAGAAATTAAATGAGTCAAAAGGCTTTGAATGGTGCTTGACTCACAGCGTTATATAAGGTTTAATATGGGATGTGGCTGTGGGCTACCTGAGGGAGTGGCCCTATTATCAACAGAAACTACAGTAGCATATGTCCAAACCTCCATCCTTATCAATTTTCTCCCCAGATGAACTTTGTCGCTCCTACACGCTATGTGGAACCTACAGTAGTTCTTTTGCCTTAGGTTGGGGTTTTCTTCCTTTGCCCCACTTTAGGGGTTTGACACAGCTTTTGGACCGTCTACATTTTCCTGACCTCTCTCTTGCCCCTGGATACCTCATCCATTATCCTCTGCTTAGGGGTCTGTATCCAAAGGTCAGCTCTCTCCTGGCTCCATGCCCAGGGCCCTGTTCCTGGAGACTTAGGGGGAGTGAGGGTGCAGGCTGCCCTCTGGAACAACACAGGGGGGAATGAGTACTTACAGGAAGCAGAAGATTTTTGATCTTTGATTTTTCAGATATGCTGGAGTCACACAGCGAACGTCACAATTGATCGAGAGTGTTGGGCTGTAATTGAGCCAGGAGTCGAGCTGGAAATGCCTATTATATTAGAGTCATTCATGCAGAGGCAACTGGTGAAGCTATCATTCAGAAAGACCCTGGAGAGGAAAGCAAAGGGTAGAGGGTAAATTCTTACAGAATATTTACAGTGAAGGAGAGGCAATAGCAAACAAAACAGAATGGTAAGTATTAAGAGAGGAACCAAAATAGTATCAGGGAGTAAAGAGAAAGTGATGACTAAGAAAAGGTCGCGAAATTTGTCTATTAAGTTACAGGAAACGTTGAGCGTTCTGTCTCAGTAGAGTGGGTAAAACCAGAAGAACATGGTGGTCCTCATATTAACCTGGCAGAGAAAGAAAGAGGGAAGGGAGGGTCAGCCTCTGAGACCTCATCGTTCAGGGACTTACAAACCTCGGTCCTAGGCCTGGGCCTACCCCCAGGGCAGCTGTGCGAGGCAGGGCTTCCCCGAGGCTGGCGCGCTCTTTCGCGCTGAGCCCCTTCTCCGCCCCCGCACCGGGCAGACCGAGCGGGAGCCAGGGTAGTTGGGGGTGTGTGGACCCGGCCGCCAAGTGACAAGCTGGGAAGGCGGGCTCCAGGGCCTTGTCCGCTGCCACCTGCGGCCCCTGAAGATGCAGCGTGCTCCCAGTAGCCAGCTCTGGCCTCGCGTTATGTGCTCTGAGAACACTGTGAGCTTTCCACACACCCACCCCGGCGGCCGTCCTTTCCCAGTGCACACGCGTCACCGCGTCTGGGGACCGGAGACCCAGCAAACCAGGAGGTTCTCTCCTTCAGCGACCCCAGCTCACCTGGCCCCCACGCCTCAGTGGCGGACCTCCGGCCGAGCGAGGGCGCTGTGGGACGCCGAGGGTGCTGTGGGCGACGCCGGCCACGCCTGGCGGGGTCTCGGAAGTGACGCACAGCACGCGCCCGACAGCGGAAGTTCCGCCCTCCAGACAGCGGAAATCAGGTCCCGCGGCTGGCGTGCGTGTCTCCGCGTGCACCCGTCAGCATGGCGCACTACAACTTTAAGAAGATCACGGTGGTGCCATCCGCCAAGGTAGTTGGCTGGGGCGGGAGGCCGCGGAGCAGCGGGTGGGAGTCGCCCTCTGCCCAGCCCTGCGCTGTGGGGCCTTACTTGCTAGGCCGCTTGCCCCCGAAAGCGGGATCGCCCCAGGGACCCGGGCACCTCGAAACCAGGCCACGTCAGAGAATGGGGTCTCTCGAGGCTAGGGTCCCATCGAGAAGGAATAGCATCACTAGAGGGGCCGCTGCCGGCGAGATGGGTGGGGGATCCCCCAAGTGCGGAAGGAAGCCCACCCAGTGGTAAGCCTTTGGGTCTGAGTTGGTTGTAACCCACTGCTCCATTCGCTAAACCTTGGGTCTTGGCTCTCGAGGGTTAACCTGTCTTGGTCTTTAAGTCGTTGTCCTTACTGCTAGGTTTGGGGGACACAGTATTTTTCAGACAGTGGGGTAAATGCGGCCAGGCTGAGTTAGCGTGGCGTCATTCGGTGTAGCGAGAGGGAGTTCCGAAGGTAGAGTATTAGGACTCTAAGGAAGGAGAGTTTTTGTGCAGTGAAGGTAGGATGCAGGTCTTCGGGAAATACTAACTTGTCAGGCGGAGAGGTCGCTAAACCGCACTGGGACAGTTTAATGTCATTGTCTCCTTTCTTTCATTTCAGGTCCCACTGATGGGATGAGCTTGCTTTAGGAAACTTTGTGAAGAACTAGTATTTTACACTCATAACACCCAGAATTGTCTCTTCACTGCTGTCTGTAATTTCTCACTTCTTCACGATCGTTTTGGTACATCACTCATTAGATTGCAGTCTTTGCGAGTGTAGAAATCATGTCTTATTTGTGTTCTTGGCCTTCATGCTTTCTCTCAGCTGGCTTTCAAATTTGTTGAAAGAATTTTTACAGAGTTTTGATTTATCCAGGTTAGAGCTGTTGGATCACTCTGTATAATTGACCTATGTGGAGAACTTTAAAATGTCAGTACAGCATCTGTCGTCTGTTCATTTATGTGAGCTCTGTGTTTCTAGAGCACAGATGATGTACTTATGTCTGGAAGATGGGTGATGATAATCTTGTGCTTGGAGGTTAAAAAAAAAATCACATCAGGAGAATAGAGATTTCATTTCTTCCTCTTCTGTGGGCTGTGTACTGTGGTTATGAAAAAATTTAAGATATGATAATCTGTCTTTCTGAGAGTAATTTTTTAGAGCGTTGAGTAGAAATACTTATAACCATACTAGAAATGTGAAAATTATTTTAATGGAGGAATATGGAGAGTACAGTTTTCTGGGTGAGTGGAAGTCAGGGGATCCTCATGAAGTAGGTATCTTTTCAGCTTGTCCCAGGAGAGGTGTACTGGGTACAGAGTACACCTGTGTAGGCACAGAGGTACAAGTGTTTGTCCTTGTAGTACTTGATAGACTGCCTTGTGACCACTTGTTCACGTCTCTGACACTGGACCCTGACAACTTTGAAGGACACGAAGTCTTGTTCATTATTTTATCTTCAACGCCTGAGTGGCCCTATCACTTTTTGTAGGATATAATCACTATTATGGAATTAATGAAAATGTTTTGTAATTTTTATATCTCTGGAGACACAGGATTGTGGATGTGTGGGGATATAGTTCTTAATAAAGAGAAGCAGGGATTTATTTGTACTGAGGGGTTCATGCAGAAACTTTATCCTCAAGAAGTCGCCTTACATACTTTCAGGGAATTATAAACGGTGTAGTTTAGATCTAGTCAATGTTTTTGGTACTTTGGAAGTAAAATATATAAAATACATGAAGTTGGAATAAAAGGATTGTTTTTTCTTTTTTCTTTTTTTTTTAATTTATGCTTCAGTTTTCTGATTAAAATGTCAAAGGTTGTTAGATGTTTGAAAGTTAAGATGCCACTCAAGAGGGCCAGCAGGTGGTGTGGTAGCTAAGACTCTGGATCCTGCATAGTTGACTGCACGGTTTGAGTCTTAGACCTGGTGGCTTGAAAAACAAGCTGGACACACGTGAATGAGTGATCACAATCCCAGGAGGAGAATGGAGAAGAGATTGCGTGTGGCTATCCCCGGGGTGGGGGGTACTACTTCGCACTTTTCTTCTTTCTCTGTCTCTGTGTCTCTCTGGGTAGCACACATGACCTATGACAAAAATCTAAAATAAATAAATAAATAGAAAGATAGCATCAAGAAAGTATGGGGTGAAATTAGTTTCAGTAGTCATTTAATAAGTTTTTCTTAAAAGGACAGAAATTATAAAAAACCAAGCTGCATATAAAAGGTTGAAGAAAAGTAAATATTGGTAAATATATAGTGCTGTTAGGTATAAGCATTTAAAGAAGGTTTTAAATAAGTGAATGAAAAGTAGACACTTTTTGTATAATTGTATCTTAATTGTTTTTAATTGCAGGACTTTATTGACCTGACATTATCAAAGACTCAACGAAAGACTCCAACGGTTATTCATAAACATTACCAAATTCATCGCATCAGACATTTTTATATGAGAAAAGTCAAATTTACTCAACAGAATTACCATGACAGACTCTCACAGATTCTAACGGATTTCCCCAAGTTGGATGTAAGTGATTCTGATAGCACATATATGTCAATTTGAGTCTTAAGGGAATCCATGTTTAGCCAGTTTGGTGTGTTTATGTGATAGGGAGGTAGAAAATGACTGCCTAGTCAGTTTCCTCAGTAAGTTAGTGACAAAGCTGTGAACAGAATTTAAGTTTCTTGACTCCTTAGAATTTTTTTTAAGAGAGATTTTTTTTGTTGTAGGGCATGTACACTCACTGGAGAGACAGAGAGACAGAAAGTAAGAAATCACTCCATAAGAGGATTGTCCAATCCACAGTCTCTTCTCAGTTTTCCTCTTGGGATTTTAGACATGCATGCACACGTGTCCAGTTGACTGCTTAGTGTATTTTTTCCCTCTCACCAAACCTGATCTGAAGAGGCTTAGGGCCATCTTCACAGACCTTTTCCAAAAAAGGCTATGCTAATTCTCCGGAATTTCTCTCTCTCTCTCTCTCTCTCTCTCTCTCAAGCGAGTGTATATACTCTATAGCAATGACTTTAAAAAAAAATGGGGAAGGCTAAAAGAAGCAGGTCTGAGGAGGGGATTGTTGAGAATCAAATCTTATATACTCAACGGTCTCTGCATACTCATCACAAGACATGTGTGAAGACATCATAGAAATACCAAATTACCCAAAACTTATGAGAGATGTGACTGGAGATTTAAAACCAAATTATTAAAGTCTGGTTGATGCTTAGAATCTCTTGGAGGTTAGGATGTGAGCATAGAAGGAAGAATTGTATGGGCAGCTCCCACATGGGGCTTGGCTTGAGGATGGTCAGCATGGAAGTTAGAGGAGCGCAGACAGTTGTCTTGGAAACTGTTTGAATAAGATGCTTTAAGAAGGACGAGTGGCCAGCCACCCAGCACTGGTAGCAGATCTAGTAAGACAAGGAATGAGAAATGGCAGTGGGAAGAGTCATCGGTGAGCCTGATGAGCTATTCAGTGGAACAGTGGACCCAGAATTCTGGTGAGATGGGTCCTGATGAGACAGGAAAGAAAAGACGGGGTGTTAAGAGATGATGTTGCAGGTATGAGGAGGTGAGAAGAAAATTATTCTCGTGTTATTTACATAGAAGGAGAAAAAACTGTTGGACCAGAATGATGTATGTGTGTGTTTTGTCTTTTACAGGATATTCATCCATTTTATGCTGATTTGATGAATATTCTCTATGACAAGGATCATTACAAGTTAGCTCTTGGACAGATAAATATTGCCAAAAATTTAGTAGACAAGTAAGGTATTTTCTTACTATCATATCTATTGAGTTATTTGAGTTATTTTCACAAGTGAGAGAAAAACTTAAAATTTTTTTTTTTAAGTGTTGCTAAAGATTATGTGCGGCTCATGAAATATGGTGATTCTCTGTACCGCTGCAAGCAGCTGAAGCGTGCCGCCCTTGGGCGCATGTGCACCATCATCAAGAGGCAGAAGCAGAGTTTGGAATATTTAGAACAAGGTACTTGTACATAAGCAAAATTTATTTTTAAGACTTACTTATTTCCTCCATGAGCAAGAGCGACAGGCACCCCAGCAATCCACCCCCAGTCTCAGCTGGTCTGGATCATGGGTTTGTATATCTGGCACGCCCAGGGAGGTCTTGGCGCTAACCTGCTATCTTTCCTATGTAGGTCCAGCTG